CAAGATATATCATGATCAAAATAGCTGCCGATGTAGGATGCCCGAGGCAATAGATACAATTCAATAGAAATATAGGGCGATGTTTAAATTCAATATTCTACATTGTATACACACTGTTTGTTGAATAATGAGCAAATGATATACAAGCCTTATAATGTTTGTTCTATTACGTACAAACTAGTTTAATAAACTTACATTTTGAACAGAATTCATGATGGAATATGTGACATGCAAATTTGATATAGGCCTATTAATGATGCATAGTTTACTTGCCAATAGATACAGGCACTTTCTCATAAGTTTTCTCCAACTTTTGCTAATGGGATGATTATGAATAACAACTTATTTCAGTTTCAAAAGCAGCTTTTTATTGTTCAAATACCTATTTCATTAGAGTGTTCATTGTCAGCAGATACTGTATAATTTTATGAGAAATCAACATTTGGTTTGTGGAGGAAGATAATAATGGGAGAGATGTAGATAAATAAAAATAGAATATCGTTAAAAACACGATATAGTGAATTTGTTTGTCATATTTTTCAAATAAAATTATTGAATGTTAACACACATAATATAAAACCTCGAATAGAAGCCCAATGGGTTTAATTTCGAGAAGAAGCCCATCTCCAATTGAAGCCCCCGCCGCTCTTAAGTTTGCAAAAGTAGCCTCGAAAGGAAGCCCATAAAAAGAAAAAGAAGCCCACTGCTTCAATTCGAGGTTTTACGGTATTCAGTTGGTATGTCAATTTGTCATTCATAACAGTATCCAAAAATAGTATATGCTTACTTTCGTGTTATATCATCGCTTTAGTTAAAATATTTTTGTGCTATTGGAAATGTAAACAGCCGTCGGTCTCCTTAGGATGTCATTAAAAGACACCAAAACAAAACAGATCACAGGCAAGGAAAAATAATGATGGACTAGCTCGGTCAAAAAGATCGATTTACTGCGGATAATTTACAGAACAGCTTATATATTTCGGTTTTATCGATTTTTTAAATATATCTTAACTTACGACTTCAAAATTCTTAGACAATTCTTTATTTGAATAATTGAATTACTATTTGTAACCAGTGGGTTGTACTTCAGTAAGCCTGATCATTTACCGGCCAATAGCGGTCGTTACAATATGCCTGAGGTTATGGTGTGCATTTATTGGGAGTTGTTATAGTCACCATAACAACTCCTTAATCTTACATACGATATTCGATGCATTTCAATACTAACTGCATATTGTGTATTAAACGTTCTTAGTTGATATAAAAATACGCTTCAAGAACAAACTGTTTTGATCATCAGGCCTACTGTATGCGTACTAACGCTTTGTTTGCTGAGCACTATTGAATTTGGCCGACGGTTCTTCTTTCCACGAACAATAATTAATATTCTATTTTACCGTCAACATAAATTGGTTAGATAAACAGACAGACCTACGATGACAATTTCCGTTAATTTGTTTAAGCAATTTCTACGATATCTTTTGTTGTCGTAGTGAATATTCGCTAACAAAATGTCATGTTGCTGAATTTTAGACCTTATAACGTCTATAATTATCGATCACATATAAGAAATATATAGTTCTATATCCTCTATAAGATTTACCTAAACAAATATTAGAGTGTAGACCTAGTCTACTTGTTCTTTACATTGTGTTTGCTTCAAAACGTTATTCACGACGCAAATTTCCAAATAATATTATTTAGCCTTCCATAACCAACATTGGCGATCATTACCACACAGTGATTCGACTAAAGAACATTATAAAGGCCCACAAAATTGTAAGTATTGTTTAGCGGAATCGTCATTGACCTTCGAATTCGTTTGTTTAAAATGTCTTTCAGAGTCTTGCCGGTAATTTGGCTTGTGACAACGGTTGCACTGCGGCCCACGGATGCGGCATTTGGTTATCTAATTTGGAACAACATGAAAGTCGAAGAAAACCGAGCATTGCTCGGTAATATATTCCAAACTTTAAATGGAATAAGATCACGCATCGAATGTCAGAGTTTCTGTGCTCAAACCAGCGAATGCAAGTCCTACAACTACGTCAGTAGCCTGAATGTTTGTGAACTCAACAATGCTACCAAGGAGGACACAAACGCTGATAAGTT